TTGTTTTGGCACAATACAAGGTGTCTATATTGGAGTATCATAGGCAAACTTAGGACTAGTTAGGATTTATTATTTTAAGATTAAGATTAGTATTTCTGGGTTTATAGTCAGTGGGTGAGTGAGTGTAATTGTGAACCACCAGGTGGTTATCATGTAGTTAGTTGTCGGGGTGGATCAGGGAGATAAGATGTTTTTTAACTGTAGTTTTGAAAGTGATGAATGTGTCTGCAGTTCTAGAGTTTCAGGTGGGGTGTTCCAGATTTTAGGTCCTTTGAAATACATTGAATTTTTGTAAAGGTTTAGTCGAACACGGGGAATGTCATAGAGATGTTTGTGTCTGGTGTTATGCCTGTGGATCCTGTCACAGCTATCAAGAAAGCATTTTAGGTCAAGGTTAATATTGGAATTTAAGGTCCTGTAGATATAGATTGCACAGTAGTAAGTGTGGATGTTCTGAACAGGGAGTAAGTTTAGATCTATGAAGAGTGGGGGAAAGGGGTGTTGCCAGGGATGGGATTTAGTGATTATTCTTACTGCGGCTTTTTGTTGGGTTATTATTGGCTTTAGGTGTGTTGCTGCAGTTGTTCCCCAAGCACAGATAGCATAGGTGAGGTATGGATATGTAAGTGAATGGTATAGTGTGAGAAGGGAAGTTTGCGGTACATAATATCGTATCTTGGAGAGGATCCCCACCGTTTTGGATACTTTTTTTTGTTGTGTTGGATATGGGTGCTGAAATTTTGGTTGTTGTCGAGGTATAGGCCAAGGAATTTGCCCTCATTATGTCTGGCAATTAGAGTGTTGTCGATCTTACTGTTAAGTTGCGCAACACCTGCTCTGCTACCAGTGTTAAGTGTAAGTTTATTGGCTGTCATCCAAGTCGATATTTTGAGTAGCTCCTCGTTAACAATGGTGTTGAGGGTGGCAAGATTAGGGTGGGAGATGACATAAGTTGTGTCGTAAGCAAAGAGAATGGGTTTCAGGTGTTGGGATATGTTTGGAAGATCATTGATGTAAATGAGGAAGAGCAGGGGGTCCAAGGACACTTCCCTGCGGAACTCCAGTATCAAGTGGCCGTATTGATGAGGCTGTGTCTGTAATGGTGACATACTGATACCTATTAGAAAGGTAGGAAATAAAATATGCAAGCGCATGGCCTCTTATACCACAGTGGTCAAGTTTATGGAGTAGGATGCCGTGATCTACTGTGTTGAACGCTTTTCTTAGGTCAATAAAAATTCCTAGCGGATATTCCTTATTTTCCAATGCTGTGTAAAGCAGGTCTAGCATTTTTATAATTGCATCATTAGTGCTTTTATTTTTCCTGAATCCAAATTGGCTGGGGTTGAGTATGTTTTGTGACGTTATAAATGAATATAGTCTCCTGTGCACGAGTTTCTCGAAGATTTGGATAGCAATGGTAAGTTTGATATTGGCCTATAGTTGTTTACGTCTGTAGGGTCACCACCTTTATGTATTGATGTAACCCTTGCTGTCTTGAGTAGTGTCAGGAAGGTACTAGTTTCTAGTGACTTGTTAAAAAGTAATGTAATAGCATGTGAAAGGACATGGGCCACTCACTTGTACAATAATGGTGGGACGTGAGACAGATTCCCCGAGTTATTTTTAAGTGACTTTATGGTTGCGGCGACTTCCGTGGGCTCAGTTGGTACAAGATAGAAGGAATTTGGGAAATTCCCATCTAGGTAGTCCCCGGCACGGGCAGTGGTACGTGGGATTTTACTGGCGAGATTAGCTCCTATGTTTGGGAAGAAGTTGTTTATCTTGTTAGCTGTATCAGTGGGATGCAGTGGTGTTTCATGAGGTTTAGTTAGAACAATATTCTTGTTTTTTTTCAGTTTGTGGGTCCCCAGAATCTGGGAAAGTGTTTTCCAGGTCTTTTTTATATCTCCTCTTAGGAATAATGTAAATTAGATTAGTCCATAAATAACAAAAAAAAGGCACAAGACCGTGACTGGAACAATACACAAATAACCCGCACATAGATAAGAGGAGCTTACGACGACGTTTCGGTCCGACTTGGACCAATGTCTGGCGAGTGCCAATTGGAATTGGCACTCGAACGGCATTCTGGAATGAAATAAGTTCAAAACTTGGGGTACCATTGTATTAGTAATAAAGGTTATCTATCTTATCATATTTACTCCAAATTGATACCAGAAACACTATAAATACCCTAGAACTGTAATAAAGATGCTGAAACGAATAATACAGCCTCTCTTCACTCAGCGACATACTCGTTTACTGATGCCTTGAACTTACGATGGGCTCTCTGACCAGTATTCATACCTAAATAATTTATATTAGAGCTGATTTCCTCTATTTTGTATATTTCAGTGTATAATACACTATTGTGTAAACATTTAAAAATATACCAGAAATGTTATGAATGGTGCAAAGGTGACATTAAAACAATATCAAAGATGGTTGACACAAACTCTCTACCATTATAATATGCTTCTCACTTCAACGAATTCCTTTAATGACATGGTCTCAGGAACGGAACTCTGTCGTTAAGTGAGGAGAGGCTGTATGTACCACATTATGTGAATGGGGTAGATGGTGGAGGCTGCTGCTCTGGGATAAGATCATAAGGTATACGTTTCTCCTCATCTGTACCTCTGGTCTATAACAAAAGATAACTGTGTTTACATTAGGGCAAACACTCCTAGATCACTCTTGTCATAAGAGAAAATGCAAAAATAGCGCAATTTTTCCAGATATTTTTTCCCCGAGTCATATGCTATGCTCTCTGTCTCATGGCATTTTAAGAAATGATTAAATTCAGTGAAAAAGGTACAGTGGACCCCCCGACCAACAAAGGCATCGTCTAACGAATAATTCGACTAACGAAGTGTTTAAGCGTAAAAATTTTGACCCGACCAACGATGAAAAACTCGACTAACATCATTTGTCCCAAACACGTCCATGTGTCCTGTCTGGCCTAAGTGCTTCTTAGCTGCCCTGCCTTCAGTTAGTGTGCCAGTGTTTACAAGCCAATGCGGTCACTTCCAGGCATATATTCGGTACATTTGGTATTATTCCAGTGTTTTTAGTGCTTGTAACTGCTAAATAAGCCACCATGGGCCCCAAGAAAGCTTCTAGTGCCAACCCTGTGGTAAAAAGGGTGAGAATTACAATTGAAATGAAGAGGGGGATAATAAGTATGAAAACGGAGTGCGTGTCTCCGAGCTGGCCAGGTTGTATAACAAACCCCAATCAACCATCTCTACTATCTTGGCCAACAGAAAGGCAATCAAGGAAGCTGTTGTTGCGAAAGGTGCAAGTATGTTTTCGAAACACAGATCACAAGTACTCGAAGATGTTGAGAGACTGTTGTTGTTGTGGATAAACGAAAAACAGATATCATGAGATAGTATCTCTCAGTCCATCATATGTGAAAAGCAAGGCAGTTGCATGACGATTTAATTAAAAAATATGCCTGCAACCAGTGATGATGCAAGTGAATTTAAGGCCAGCAAAGGTTGGTTTGAGAGATTTAAGAATCGTAGTGGCATACACAGTGTGATAAGGCATAGTGGGGCTGCCAGTTCGGACAAAAAAGGCGGCTGAAAAATATGTGCAGGAATTCCAGGGGTACATAGAGGCTGAAGGATTGCAACCCCAACAAGAAGTACAGAGCTCTATGGACAGATTTTTGGTGCAACAGAGGTCCAGTGACTCTCAAGTTGTTCCCAGTGGCATTAAAAAACAAAGAAGGGAAGTAACCCTGGAAAATGACTTGCTACCTAAAGTCCTTATGGAAGGGGATTCCCCTTCTAAAAATTAATACATCTTCTTCTCCCCTCCTCCCATCTCATCACTCATCACTACATCTTCAATAAATGTGTCATTTATTCTTCATTTAGTACAGTACATTGTTTATTGTGCATGTATCCTTCTTTTTCTGTGTAGGAAAATGTATATTTCATGTGAAAAACATTTTTTTTTTTTTCATACTTTTGGGAGTTTGGAATGGACTAATTGGATTTCCATTATTTCTTATGGGGAAAATTAATTTGGCTAATGACAAGCTCTCTGGAATGGATTAACATCGTTGGTCGAGGGTTCACTGTATGTCGATGGTAATAATAATTTACTGTCGTATCTGAGCGCCTCTGCAAAGACAGTGATTATTTATGAGTGAGGTGAAAGTATTGAATGATGAAAGTATTTTCTTTTTGGGGCTTTTCTTTCTTTTTGGGTCACCCTGCCTCAGTGGGAGACAGCCGACTTGTTAAAAAAATAATAATTATAACTAATTTATAATTATAATAATTTATAATAGTAATAAATAATCACTCTGGAGTGCATTAAATGTCATACATATTTTGTATAGGTTTGGTGGCTGACATTTAAAGCACTCCAGAGCACTAATAATTATTATGATTATTACCATCTACATACCTTGTTCACTGTGTTTAATCATTTCTTAAGCTGCCACGATACACCAAGAATGTAAACACACATACGAACACACCAACTATCTCCTTTACTGTGAACTTCTTTTGTACTTCTTCCATGATCCTTTTGTTGTTCCTCTTCCAAGTGCTGCTGCACTTCTGACTATTTTCTACTATGGGATGCACAATAAAATACAAATTTATAGACGAAATATGTAGTCTTGGAGATTGCTTGTTGCTGAAATGCATCACTAATCCCTTTACAATGAGCTTCTTTCACTTTTCTGTTGTTTTTCCTCTTCCAAGAGGAAAAACAACAGGAAATTTGTACAGATATGTAGTCTTGGAGACTGTGAAAGCTATTGTACCTCTGAGTGGCTATAGGTAGGAGATTGAGATACTTGATGCTGAGATGCTGTCCTGCCCGTTCATGACCCAAGTTCTCATTCATTATACAATAACTACTCATCAGAGAGTTGCCAGTAAATGGTCAGTAAGTGAGGAGAGGCTGTATTTGTATTATGTCACAAGCTTAACTATCTGATTAATGCAACAACCATTACTTTTTCTTTACAGCCATGTGTAAGAATACAGCTGATAACAAATGGTACAATTATGATGATAGTAAAGTTGAAGCTGCATCAGAAGATCAGGTGGTTGATCCTGATGCTTATATCCTCTTTTATCAGGTGAGGAGCTGAGAATATGTCATCCAAAGTAGATATTGTATTATGAAGTTTGTGTCAAGCACATTCAAGATGAGACTAATTGTAATTTTATAAATTGTATTCCACAGTGTATTATAAAATCAGTATATAAATTGATAGACAATGATGTAAAAATATTTTATATTACAGCGGCGAAGTGATGTGAGCCACATCAGCTGCAGTGAAGGTAGTGTGGTAGAACACTGGGCGTACAGAATACCCCTCTCATACTTGCCCACTTCTCTCATACCACAAGCTAATAAAGAAAACAAAGGTAAGAATCGGTTTCTACAATGAGTTCAGTTGAAAACATATAAAGGATCCATTACCTAGTTAGGATATTCAGATGTATTTTGATGGCTGTATTAAAAATTTCAGCATTACTCCACCCCTTGCTAAGTTAATACAGCAGGACCCCGCTTTACAGCGTTTCGATTTACGGTGTTCTGCTAATACCGACATTTCAAATTTTGACCAAAACTCGCTATACAGCTCCTCCGTCCTTCTAATACGGTCACTGCACCCATTTGATATACCTTTGAAAAGTTTCGAGAGTTTCACTGCTCTCAGAGCCCAGCCATGGGCCAGGCCCGTCTAGTGCTCGTCTGGTCAACCAAGCTGTTAGCGCTGGAGGCCCGCTGCCCCACATATCCATCACAGCCTGGTTGATCTGGCACCTGGTGAAGATACTTGTCCAGTTTCCTCTTGAAGGCTTCTACACTTGGTCCAGCCATGTTTCTGATAACTTCTGGTAAGATATTGAATAGTCTGGGACCCCAGATGTTGATACAGTGTTCCCTTATTGTCCCTACCACTCCCTTGCTCCTCACTGGGTTTATTTTGCTCTTCCTTCCATATCTCTCACTCCAGTGTGTTATTATTTCAGTGTGCAGATTTGGGACCTGGCCCTCAAATACTTTGCAGGTATATATTATCATGTATCTCTCTCTCCTCCGTTCCACCCCTCACGGAAGGTTCCTTGATGTTGGTGAGGGGCTCTTGATTTAGGGAATTGGATCTGTGCTCCAGTTCCTCGAATTAAGCCTGAATGCCTTCCACATCCCCCCCCCAGGCGCTGTATAATCCTCCGGGTTTAGCGCTTCCCCCTTGATTATAATAATAATAATCCTCCGTTCCAATTAGTACATGTTCAAGACTTGAAGGCATTCCCAGTAATTTAGGTGCTTCACTGGCTCAGTGTGAGCCATAAACATTCTTTGCATTTGTTCCAGCTCTGATATTTCTCCTGCTTTGAACAGGTCCATCAGCACTGAGCAATATTCTAAACGAGGGAGCACTAGTGATTTGAAGTGTCACCATTGGCATTATTTCCCTTGTTTTGAAAGTTCTTAATACCTACCCCATCATCTTGTGATCTTTGTATTGTTATGGTCTTTAAAAGAAAGGTCAGCTGACGTAATTATTCCCAGGTCTTTTACGTGTTCCTCACGTTTTATTTGGTGACCCTCTTGAGTTTTGTATATAGTGTTCCTTTTGAGTTCTTCATTCTTTCGATACCTAAGCAGCTGGAACTTATCACCATTGAACATCATGTTGTTCTCCATTGCCCGCTGGAAAACCCTGCTTATGTCTTCCTGTAATTTTTCTGTGTTCTCTATCGTAGTGACATTCATGCTTATTTTAGTGTCACCTGCAGATGATGATACAAAAGTGTGACAGGTGTTTTTATCTATGTCTGCTATGAGGATAAGAAACAGCAGAGACACCAGGACAGTGCCTTGGGTCACAGAGCTTTTTACCTTGCTAATGCTGGATCTTGCTCTGTTTACTACTACTAGTTGTGTTGTGTGTGTTAGAAACCCGAAAATCCATCTGCCTACCTTCCCCGTAATGCCCATGGCCCTCATTTTGTGTGCTATCACTCTATGATCGCATTTATCAAACCCTTTGCAAAATTTGTGTAGATCACATCTGCATTTTGGTCATTTTCCAGCGCCTCCGTAATTTTGTCACATCGGTTCAGCAGCTGTGACAGGCGTGATTGCCCTGCTCTAAAATCATGCTGGTTTGGGTTATGCTGGTTGTGCTGGGCCATGAAATTTGTAATCTTCCATCTCATCACTCTTTCAAAGATTTTTATGATGTGAGAAGTTAGGCTACTGGTCTGTAATTTTTAGCTTGTGCTCTACTACCTCTCTTATGCGAAGGAGCTATGTCTCCACTCTTTAAGGCCTCTGGTATTTCACCTAGATCTAAGCTCTTTCTCAAAAGAATACTGAGGGCTCATGCTAGTGGTACTTTGCACTTCTTTATAAATAGGGCATTGCATGAATCTGGTCCAGGGGCTGAGTGGGCAGGCATGTTATCCATTTCTTTTTCGAGATCTGTGGGACTTGTGCTAATGTCAGTTAGTTGGTCTGTGTGGCCTTCTGCTGGAGTGAAAAATATTTCTACATTTTCTACCTTGCTGTCATATAGTGGATTGCTGAACACCGACTCATATTGTTCCTTTAGGATTTCACTAATTTCCTGTTCATTGTCAGTATACAAATCTCCTCCCAATAATGGTCCAGTTCTACAGGTAGTTCTTAGCTTGGATTTTACATAGAAATAGAAATATTTTGGGTTTCTTGCAGTATCCTGTATGGCCCTTTTTTTCCTTTGGACTTCTTCTGTTAGGTATAACATCTTAAGTTTTTGCTCTAATTCAGTGATCTCTCGGCTAAGTGTCTTTCCTCTGTTGCAACATATTTGTGTTTTTAAGCAATTCAGTAACCCGTTTTCTTCTTCCGTACCATCTCCTATGCTCTCTTTCTGTGTCTGATCATCTTCTGGGTTCCCTCACTGGTATGTACTTCATACATACCTTGTATGCTTCTGTATTCAGCTTCTCTAAGCACTGCTAGGGATTTAGGGTACTCATGTCTGATTCCCAGGATATGTTTGATAGCTCTTGGTTTATTTTTTCCCAGTCAATTTTATTGTTAAAATTAAACTTACTGACCATCCTGTCTCTAACATTAGTGATGGAGTTGCCTAACCCTGAGTTAATACTCGTTTGAACTTCTGTGATGATGTGATCAGAGTATATTGTTTTGTGACTGTTATATCTCTGATTAGTTCCTTGTTGTTTGTGAATATCAAATCCAGGGTATTTTCATTTCTAGTGGGATCAGTTATATGTTGGTTCAATGAGTACTTTTCACAAAGCCTCATTAGTTCCCTGGTGTGTACCTGTTAAGCCAGGGTGCTTCCCAGAGATATTTCTGGTATAACATTGCTTTGCACCATCTTCCATTTTACATGAAGATTATAATCTCCAAGGAGTAAAACATTTGGTGTGGGATTTTCTAGCCTATCCAGATAGCTGTCTATTTTCCTTAACTAATCTGTGAATTCCTCAGCAGTTGCTGATGGAGGTTTATATACTAGGATAATTACCAAATTCCAAGTTTCAACTTTAATGCCTAGGATTTCTACTATATCATTCGTAGAATTTAGCACTTCTGTTCAACAGAGAGTATCTTTTACATAAGAGTCCTACCCCTCCCTCTGACCTAGTAATTCTGTCACATTTACACATGTTATATTTTTGTATCTTTATCTCTCTATCCAAAGCATCCCTTGTGTGTGTTTCTGTAAATGCCCCAAAGAAGGCATTTGCTTCTGATAGGAGCCCACTGACATAACTAACTTTGTTGTTTTTATTTGATTTCAGACCCTGAATATTTGCAAATATGAAGCAGGAATTACCATTTGGGATGTTTTGTTTTGCTGTGTGTTTTGTTAGTACCACTGGTGATGTACTGATATGGCCCCTGGTGTACATACCCTGGTTTCTCCAGTACTAACTTTGCATTTGATTGTGTATTCTGCCCTGATGGGCTGATGCCTTGTTTGGTATGTTCTATTGTGCTTCCTATCTGTAGCATTTCTCCTTTTTGTCTCTTTCTTTAGTCCAATCATGTTGCATTATGTCTAAAAAAGATTGCTGTTCATTTTCCCTTTCTCTGTAGTGCTGCAGTTCAGGTCATAACATTCTCTGAACTGTGTTGAAGCTTTGCACATCACTGGGTGGAAGTACCTGCACTCTTTGTCAATTTGATACTTCCCTTTCTCAACATGTTCACACATTTTCTGTTGTGTTTATTCCAGCAAGCTCTGCTGTATAGGCACATACCTTTTGCATAGTAACTGCAAATGTTCTGATTGCCTATATTTACTGATTTTGCGTTTTTCCCAAGTTCTGCCACCTGATCTGAATTCTCTTGTTTTCTTTCATCTAGGCATGTTTTTCCCCTTTTTCATTTTTGTTTGCTCCTGTTCTAACTTTCTCTTCCTCCCTTTCCCTTTTCCTCTATGTTATGTACCCATGTTTTGTTCTTTTCCAAGAAGAATTGTACATTAATTTGTTTTTCTCTGATTTTGTAATATCTGTATTGGGCTTTTCCTGTGAGAAAATCTTTAGTCTTTGAGAGCTGAGTGCCTTCAGTGATCATGCAGAATCAGTTAAGATCAATGAGTCAAGTTTGGTATCATAAGTTCATTGCAGTTAGGATAGCAAACAATTCAGTTGGCCGTGTAGATGACCATTTGTTAATTCTTATTCCCAAGTTAACATGGTTGCTACAGCTCTTCTCAAGGGAGGTGGCAACAAGAGGAGATGCAGCCCTGCCAGTAGATTCCTGCTTATATCATATACACTGATAGATTTATGTGAGCTGTTGGAGTTTGAGCAGGGTTACATTTTGTGATGGGATTCAGAGAAACCAGTTAGCCAGACTCGAGTCCTGGAAATGGGAAGCACAATGCCTGCACCTTAAAGGTGGGGTTTGGGATATTGGCAGCTTGGAGGAACATCTAAACTGTCGTGTCTGAGCGCCTCTGCAAAGACAGTGATTATGCGTGAGTGATGGTAAAAGTGTTGAATGATGAAAGTTTTATCTTTCTTTTTGGGTCACCCTGCCTCAGTGGGAAATGGCCAATGTGTTAAAAAAAAAATTACCAACAGTTATAAGAGAAATTTCTTCTTGAGCAGTTGCCTTTTTAAGTGATTAAAGGAAGGGATTACTAGTTATGAGCTTCTTGGAAGGGGTTTAAGATATGTGATGTTATGTAAACATCCATGGGGGAGGTGAAATGCTCTTGTCTATAGAGACAAAGTTTGTTCTGCTTAAGAAACTAAATTTATATTTTAACACACCAACCATCTCTCACTGAGGAAAGGGTAGACCCGACAAGGAAGAAACATTTTCATCATCATTCACTCTTCACTGTCTTGCCAGAAGCATGCCAATACTACATTTCAGATGCAACTCCAAACTGCAAATATCCCCACCCTTTGTTCAGAGTACAGCACTGTACTTCCCACCTCTAGGACTCGAGTCAGGCTAACTGGTTTCCCTGAATCCCTTCACAAGCTGTTACTTTGTTCACACTCCAACAGCTCTTCAGGTCCCAGAAACCATTTTCCTCCACTTCTATCTAACATGTTCACACACCTGTTGCATGTCCAAGCCTCTCACACACAAAATCCCCTCCCTCCAACCTTTCCTTGGGCAACCTTTACCTGCCTTCCCTCCACTACAAGTCATCCTGTTCTGCTACACTCTCTTTAAATGTCCAAACCAACTCAACCCCCTCTTCTGGATAATACTTTCAGTAACCTCGCACTTCCTAATCTCTGCATAATATTTACACCTCCTCACTGCAACATTCAAAACCCATGCTTTACGCTCATGTAAGAGTGTTGGTACTACTGTATTTTCATTCATCCCCCTTTTTGCCTCCACGGACAATGTTCTGTCTCCACAGATGCCTCAGTGTACCACCCACCTTTTTTCCCTTCACCAATTCTATGGGTCACTTTGTCTTTCGTATACCCATCCCCCGACAAGTCCACTTCCAGATACTGGTACCATCCGACTTATGACCGAGTTCGGTTCCGACAAACCGGTCGTAAGTCGAACCTTACTACTGAATATCAACATCACATTTTTGTAATGGCTATTTATTGTTTTATTTTGGTATTTCATTTTTTACTTTACTTTTCATGCTGTTAGTACTGTATGTTATACTGTAAGGTTTAGGATAAACACTGTGTACAACACAAACAGTTGTTTATTTCCCAGAAATTTGGCATAGAAAGCATGGTCGTAAGTCAAATGGTTGTATGTCGAGCAGGTCGTAAGTCGGATGGTAGGTGTATCTGAACATTTTCACTTCCTCTATACTCCTACTCTGATATCCAATCTTTCATTACCTATATCATTTGTTACCCTCATCACCTTGCTCTTTCTTATGTTTACTTCTTTTACATACCCTCCCAAATTTTTCCACCAATCTTTGCAACTTCTCTTCAGAATTTCCCAAAAGCACAGTGTCATTGGCTTAAGGGAACTGTGACAACTTCCACTGTGTATTGAATTCTGCATATTTTAATCCTGCACCTCTCCACATTTCTTTCACAACTCCATCTATAAGTATGTAAACAACCATGGAGACATCACACATTCCTGTCTAGGGCCTACTTTTATTGGAAAATAATCATCCTCTTTTCTGCATATCCTAACCTGAACCTCACTGTCCTTATATAAACTCTTAACTACTTTTAGTAACCTACCAAATATTCCATACACTTGCAACATCTGCCACATTGCTTCCCTATCCACACTATCATGTATCTTTTCTCAATCCATGAATGCAGCAAAAACCTTCTTACCTTTATCTAAATTTTGTTCACTTAAATGCTACAGTGTCAACACTTGGTCTATACATCCCCTACCCTTCCTAAAGCTTCCTTGTTCATCTGTGATCCTGCTCTCTCTTTCAATAATAATTCTGCCATACACTTTACTTGGTACTCATCAGGCTTATTCCCTTATAATTTCAACACCCTTTCCTTTACACGAAGGAACTATGCAAGTTCTTTGCCAATCCCTAGGCACTTTCTCCCTTTTTCATACATTTATCGAACAAAAGTACCAACCACTCCAAAACTGTATTGCCACCTGCTAGTAACATTTCTGTCTTGATCAGATCAATCCCAGCTTCTTTACTCCCTTTCATTCTACCCATTGCCTCCTTCCCTCCTCCCTGGTCAGTGCATAAAATCACTCTCTCTTCAAAATATTTCCGCCATCTTTTTAATATCTCGAACTCCCCATCAAATAAATATCTTCTGTTTTTAAACTAAAATTCATTTGTTCCCTAGGCTTTCTCAACATGTTAATCTCACTCCAAAACTTTTTCTTATTCTCAGCAAAATTTGTTGATAGACCCCCACCCACTCTCCTTTTACATTCCCTCACCATCTTCCTAACCTCTCTTTTACTCCTTCCTTATATCACTTCTGCTTTATAAAAACCTCTCATATGTTAACTTTTTCTCCCTTACCACTCCATTTACTTCATTCCACCAATCATTCCTCTTCCCTTCCACACCCACCCTCCTATATCTATAAACTTTTGCTGCACACTGCCATCTTAAATCTACCCCCATACCTCTTCCACCTCATTACAGTACCTATACTCTCACTAGCACATCTTTCTCCCCCAGCAGTTGCTTACATCTTATTCACTGGTGCCATTCACCTCGTACCCTGTACAGGAGGAGGGTTACTAGCCCTATGCTCCCAGCATTTTAGTTAGTTGCCTTTTATGACACACATGACTTGTGGAGGAAGGATTCTTTTTCCACTTCCCCATAGATGGGTGTGTATGGTGGACCCCAGGGAATTCGCAGTTCTGAATTTTTTATGCATTTTAACGCTAAATATTAAGAAAAATATAATTTGATAATTTTGTAACATAAATATTAATGTAAATTCAGCAAAATTTCCTTATATTGGGTAGTACCTGTACATTTAACTTTACATTTACTAAATTAAATTATTAACGTATATTTACCGTACGTATACAAAAGAAAACGGGGTTGGAATGTAGCCCCCGTGAATTTGGGGGGACTACTGTATACCGATATGTGTACATGCACGTGTATTGTGACCTAAGTGTAAGTAGAAGTAGCACAATTTATTTACTTCTAGACATTAAGCAGTTGTTTAGTTGTGTCTGCAGTAACAGAATACTGCATTAGATTTATAGTAATGAACAGGGGGGATTATTGCTTTAGTGACTGGAATATTTGCAATGTTTATTTTGGACTATTATTTTTAAAGGAGGGGTTTGGAATATTGGCTGTTCGAAGTGACATCTAAACTGTCGTATCCGAGCGCCTCTGCAATAAATTATTTAAGAGACAGTGATTATGCATGAATGATGCTTAGCACTTCTTTTTGATTATAATAATGTATGAATGATGGTGAAAGTGTTGAACGATGATGAAAGTTTTTTCATTCTTTTTTGGTCATCCTGCCTCGGTAGGAAACAACCGACATGTTAAAAAAAGAAAAATTATAGTGGAATTATTTAATTTTGTGTAAAATTTACCAAATTCTGTGCACTTTATATAGTAGTTATGATAGCTGAATGGAATTTTTTTGTGCTCAGTCATTAGAACAGAAAGTATACTAGCAAAATTGCACAAAATTATCAAATTGAGCTTCAAAACTGGCTTAAAACAGGGCTCAAAGTGGGCAAAATTGCCATTGCATAAATTGTGCCCAGACAGCCAACTTTGCACCTGCATAATTCCATGACACTTCTGTTAAATTTTGTATTTTTTTATATATTACATTCAGAAAACGATTCTCTACTATTTCACTTTATTTAATTCTCAATTTTGTCAGCACTTTTACTTTCAGGGGTCCTGACAGTGAAAGGCTTAAAAGAATGTAATGTCTAATTTGCCATGAGTGTCTATATGTTAATGAATTATATTTTAAAAGTCATCATAGCACCTCATTAGTACTATACTGATTTATAATCTATCTTTCAGCAGTACCACCACCTTTTGAGAGAGGAAGGTCGTATGGGACACTACCAGTGAATGTAAGGAACCAGAGACAGTCATCACTAGAAAGGGAACATGCATCTGACACTGAAGCACCACTGGCCTCACATGATGTATGTTTTTTGTCTTCACACTTAGAATTACTAATTGAACTCCACTTGCAGAAATTTCACTGTTGCTATCACAGAGTTACTTTTAGCAAACTCTCTAATCTAGAGCTATTTTTTATTTTACACATCCTGTTTCCTACCTCAGCTTATTTCAAGGCCCAGCCCTATCTAAGGTATTCTACTCCTTCCTTTCCCTGGAGTGCTTCCCACATTAGTCAACTAACACCCAGGGTACCTACTTCCTGCTAGGTGAACAGGGGACAAGAGGCAAAAGGAAACATTTCCACCCATACCAGGGATAGAACCAGTCATCCTCTGTGACATTCTGGCTTTTCTGAATATATGATGTATTTTTATATTGGTCATCTCTCCCTCTCAACCCTTTCAGGGTCGACAGGCCCTCTTCCAAACTTGTTCTCAGGGTTGAAAAATATTAGAAAAAAAAATTTTTCTCATGAAATATTTTTTTTTGTGAGTATTATACGGAGATATGGAGGCGCGAAGTTGACAGAAATTGAACCGCATACGGCAACATCGCCGACTGCCAGTCACCCGGTAATAGTTTATTTTGTTTTTTCTACTTTTTTCTTTTATTTTTTAATATTTTATTTTTTCAAGTAACTTTTATGGCCTCTAAGACCAATATAAAGACTATTTGGTATATATTCACTCATTGTATACTACACAATAACAACACAAACTTTGCTGTCATTATATTGTTTACAAAACATGTTTACACAAACCAGCAATAAAAAATGTTGTTTATTACTATTTTTCTATCATATATATACACATATAGAGTCACTGGACAGGTTTCTAAAACTACAAGAGGTTCTGAAAGCTTGCAGTTGTGTGGGGGTGGACTTGTAAATATGCTGAGTCACCGATGTGTCTTGTGTCACGATGATGCATCATTCCACAACACATTTCTTCCTCCCCACAAAATCTACCTTCCTTCTTTTCTTCCATCTCATCTCTTCCTACCTACCTTCCTTCCTCTCATCTCTTCCTTCCTTCAAGTACCTTTTATGGCCTGTGAGACCAATATAAGGTATATTGAATGTATATTCACTTGATGTATGCTACACAATAACCACACAGTCATTATATTGTTTACAAAACATGTTTACACAAACCAACAATAAAAAATGTTGTTTATTACTATCTTTCTATCACATACATGAAGTCACTGAACACTTCCCAGAACTGCTACAGCTTCTGTAAAGCTCGTAGTTGTTGTGTGGGGGTGGACTTGTAAATATGCCGAGTCACCGGTGTAATTAGTGTCACAATGACAAATAACACCATCACTCACCACCCTCACTGCCTGTCAACTTCCTCTTCGCAGCACAAACCCACATGCAAATAAGTCACTATCTGAATTTTTTGGGTTATCCTAGGTTGATGGTCTCCTTCCTTCCTCTCATCTCTTCCTTTCTTCCTACCTTCCTTCTTTCCTTCAGGTTTCCTGGACATTGCTTTCAGTCACAAACTCCTCAAAACCATGAAATTCATCTTCACTGACACTTCCATCTGTGTTTGAACTTCGCTTGGGAACAAAAGAGCCCCAATTAGCCGAGGAGTGAGGAGTTTCTTAGCGCTAGACATGGTGAACAAGGTGTAATAAAATGGCTTTCCCACAATGCACCACTGGGTCCCCGATTTTTTTTGTACCATGCACAATGACCATGGAGACCCATTCTCTCACATCTAAGACTACCAACCTTTTCCTGCTTTATTTGAGGACACTAGAGTTTATGTGTACTAGTACGTCAGTAACCCTGGCGCTTAAGACGTACTAGTACGTCGGAAACCCTGAAAGGGTTAAGTAACAGCTCCTTTATTCCTCAGATAATTTATTTTGTTAACACAAATTCTAGATTTATATAGCTTTCATACATCAAGATTACAAAGAATAAACAACTCTTTTTATGATCTTTGTTCATTTCTGTAACAAGGAACAAATTATACTCCTCTTTTTTTGCTTCCTCCCTATTTCATTTCTTTGTATATTTCTACATACAAGTACTCTAGTCTAACGCCAATTTTATGTAACAGTTGGGACCTGGCCCTCAGTTTTTTTAAATTGAGAATTCATTAAAAATTAGGGGATTACTGTAGTACATCTTCCAGTGCCTTTATTCATTTGGAATGCATCTAACTCTGCTTTCAGGGTTGTTTTTCTTCTCATATTTTAAATATTTTTATCATATGATAGAAGTAAAAATTACTGATACCAGTTTAAAAGTGAATCTTTAACCATCCTATTCTAATTTACTTTAAAAAAAAAAACTGATTCAATACTTGACTAGACACTTTCACCATCATTCATACATAATCATTGTCTTTGCAGAGGAACACACAAACACACACACACGACAGTTCAGATGTTATTCCAAACAGCAAAAATCCCAAACCCTTCCTCTAACCCTTTCAGGGTCGAGAGGCCTTCTACTAAACTCGTTCTCAGAGTCAAAATTTTTTCGGGGGGAAAAAAAAAATTCTTGTGAAATGATAGAGAATCTTTTCCCGATCAAAATGACACCAAAAGTATGAAATTTGATGGAAAACCTACGGAATTATACTCTCGCAAAGTTAGCGGTCTCGACGATGTTTATGCATTGGCGATTTCGCCCACTTTGAGCCTTATTTTCGGCCAATTTCAGTGTACTAGTCGACAAAAATCATTATTTCGCTAGAACTCCATTCTTTCTATCGAATGAGTACACAAAACAACCCATTTACTGATTTCAAGTATCCAATAAAGTGGTCAGAAATTGGCAATTTTGCCAGTTTCACACAAATTTCAGAAGATGCTAATCTTCAAATAGGGTGCAGAATAAGCAAGACAGACATTCCTGGCACTAAAATAACATTTTCTCTGTTCATTAGTTACATCCCCAGGCCCCTCTTACATCTCTTTTGCTTTCCACTTTGAATTTTTATTCTCACAAAAAATAGAAGATTTACTGTTATGCAGACTACTGCATTAGTATAGAAATGGTATAAATAATACTAGTGCACTTGTGAAAGATTATTAGACTCACCAGTTGATGTGTATTGGACGCTTTTTCGTGATTTGTTTACTTTTGAAATTTGGTAAAAATCGAACATTTCTGCTACTTTGAGCTCAATTTCAAGGTGCTTTTCATTATGAAACCAATCAAAATCATCTCAATTTCTGTAATGTGTCTTCCATTCTATAAAACGAGACCAGGAAAACTAGAATACACCCACAAATACCACACAAAAATAGACTGCAAAGTCACTGTTTTAAACCAAAAACACGGTCGGAGTTTTTTTTTTTCTCATTATGCACTGTGTGCTGCAGGATTTTTTTTTATGCTGTGCACACTGACCACATAGACCCATTCTTTTATATGTAGGCCTACTAGATTTGGAGGCGCTAGAATTTAGGCATTCTAGTACATCAATAACCCTGGTGCGTAAGCCGTACTAGTACGTCAGAAACTCTGAAAGGGTTAAAATGCAGGCATTGTACTTCCCACCTTTTGATCTACACATCCCCTACCCACTCTAAAGTCTCCTTGCTCATCCAAAATCCTACTCTCTGTCTTGCCTCTAATTCTTTCAATAATAACCCTACCGTACACTTTTCCTGGTATACTCAGTAAACTGATTCCTGTATATGTAATTTTTACAGTCTCTTTTGTCCCCCTTCCCTTTATATAAAGGAACTATACAAGCTCTCTGCCAATCCCTAGGTACCTTCCCCTCTTTCATACATTTATTAAACAAAAATACCAAGCCCTCCAACACAATATCCCTCCCTGCTTTTAAAATTTCTGTCATGATCCCATCAGTTCCAGCTGCTTTACCCCCTTTCATTCTACGTAATGCCTCACGCACCTCCCCCACACTCACATCGTGCTTTTCTTCACTCCTAAAAGATGTTATACCTCCCTGACCAGTACATGATATTACCACCTCCCTTACTTCATCGACATTTAAAAGTTCCTCAAAATATTCCCGCCATCTACCCAATACCTCAGCTCCCCATCTTCTAACTCTCCTACTTTGTTTTTAACTGACAAATCCATTCGTTCCCTAGGCTTTCTTAACTTGTTTATCTCACTCCAAATTTTTTTCTTATTTTCGTCAAAATTTCTTGACAGTGCCTCTCGCACTCTATCATCTCTCCTTTTGCACTCTCTCACCACTGTCTTCACCTTTCTTTTACTCTCCATATACTCTGCTCTTCTTATAACACTTCTGCTTTGTAAGAACCTTTCATAAGTTACCTTTTTCTCTTTTATCACACCCTTTACTTCATTATTCCACCAATCACTACTCTTTCCTCCTGCACTCACCCTCCTATAGCCACAAACTTCTGCCCCACACATTCTAAAACTGTATTTCTGAAACTATTCCAACCCTCTTCAACCCCCCCTCATTACTCATACTTGCACTAGCCCACCTTTCTGCCAATAGTTGCTTATATCTCGCCCTAACTTCTTCCCTTAGTTTATACACTTTCACCTCTCTCTTACTTGTTACTGCCATTTCCCTTTTATCCCATCTACCTCTTACTCCAACTGTAGCTACAACTAAATAATGATCCAATATATCAGTTTAGATAAAGGTAGGGATGTTTTCATTGCATTTATTGATTTAGAAAAGGCATATGATAAAGTGGATAGGGAGCAATGTGGCAGATGTTGGAAGTGTATGGAATAGGTAGTAAGTTACTAAATGTTGTAAAGAGTTTTTATGAGGATAGTGAGGCTTAGGTTAGCTTGTGTAGGAGAGTGGGAGATTACTTTCCAGTAAAAGTAGGCCTTAGACAGGGGTGTGTAATGTCACCATGGTTGTTTAACATATTTATAGATGGAATTGTAGAAGAAGTAAATCCTAGGGTGTTGGGGAGAGGGGTGAGATTATGGGGAATCAAATACAAAATGGGAGTTGTTACAGTTACATTTTGCTGATGATACTGTGGTTTTGGGAGATTCTGAAGAGAAGTTACAAAGTAAAGAGAGGTGAAAGCGAACATAGGTAAGAGTAAGGTGATAAGGGTATCAAACGAGTTAGGTAAAGAAAAACTGGATATCACATTGGAGGAAGTATGGAAGAAGTGAATGTGCTCAGATATTTGGGAGTAGATTTTTCAGCAGATGGGTTTATGAAAGACGATGTTAACCATAGAATTAATGAAGGCGAAAAGGTGAGTGGTGCATCGAGTTGTCTGTGGAGACAAAAAACGTTATCCATCATAGAGGCAAAGAAGGGAATATACAAGAGTATAGTAATATCAACACTTTTATATGGGTGTGAATGTTGCACTGAGGAGGAGGCTGGAGGCAGTGGAGATGTCATGTCTAAGGGCAATGTGTGCAAATTAGGTGGTGTGGAGTTACTAAAAGTTTTAGTCAGAGGGCTGAAGAACAATTGTTGAGGTGGTTTAGTCATTTAGAGAGGATGGAACAAAGTAGAATGACTTGGAGAGTGTATAAATACAATGCCTGCACTTTAAAGGAGGGGTTTGGGATGTGCTGTTTAGACTGACATGTGAACTGGCATATCTGGGCACCTTTGTTAAAGACAGTGATTGTGTGAATGATGGTGAAAATGTTTTTCTTTTTTTGGACCATCCTGCCTCAATGGGAGATGGCCAGCATGTATGTATATGTGTGTGTGTGTATATATATATAATATATATATATATATATATATATATATATATATATATATATATATATATATATATATATATATATATATATATATAATTATATTTTATTATTTTTTTTTTATTATCACACCGGCCGATTCCCACCAAGGCAGGGTGGCCCGAAAAAGAAAAACTTTCACCATCATTCACTCCATCACTGTCTTGCCAGAAGGGTGCTTTACACTACAGTTTTTAAACTGCAACATTAACACCCCTCCTTCAGAGTGCAGGCACTGTACTTCCCATCTCCAGGACTCAAGTCCGGCCTGCCGGTTTCCCTGAATCCCTTCATAAATGTTACTTTGCTCACACTCCAACAGCACGTCAAGTATTAAAAACCATTTGTCTCCATTCACTCCTATCAAACACGCTCACTCATGCCTGCTGGAAGTCCACGCCCCTCGCACACAAAACCTCCTTTACCCCCTCCCTCCAACCCTTCCTAGGCCGACCCCTACCCCGCCTTCCTTCCACTACAGACTGATACACTCTTGAAGTCATTCTGTTTCGCTCCATTCTCTCTACATGTCCGAACCACCTCAACAACCCTTCCTCAGCCCTCTGGACAACAGTTTTGGTAATCCCGCACCTCCTCCTAACTTCCAAACTACGAATTCTCTGCATTATATTCACACCACACATTGCCCTCAGACATGACATCTCCACTGCCTCCAGCCTTCTCCTCGCTGCAACATTCATCACCCACGCTTCACACCCATATAAGAGCATTGGTAAAACTATACTCTCATACATTCCCCTCTTTGCCTCCAAGGACAAAGTTCTTTGTCTCCACAGACTCCTAAGTGCACCACTCACTCTTTTTTCCCTCATCAATTCTATGATTCACCTCATCTTTCATAGACCCATCCGTCTGACACGTCCACTCCCAAATATCTGAATACGTTCACCTCCTCCATACTCTCTCCCTCCGATCTGATATTCAATCTTTCATCACCTAATCTTTTTGTTATCCTCATAACCTTACTCTTTCCTGTATTCACCTTTAATTTTCTTCTTTTGCACACCCTAACCAAATTCATCCACCAATCTCTGCAACTTCTCTTCAGAATCTCCCAAGAGCACAGTGTCATCAGCAAAGAGCAGCTGTGACAACTCCCACTTTGTGTGTGATTCTTTATCTTTTAACTCCACGCCTCTTGCCAAGACCCTCGCATTTACTTCTCTTACAACCCCATCTATAAATATATTAAACAACCACGGTGACATCACACATCCTTGTCTAAGGCCTACTTTTACTGGAAAAAATTTCCCTCTTTCCTACATACTCTAACTTGAGCCTCACTATCCTCGTAAAAACTCTTCACTGCTTTCAGTAACCTACCTCCTACACCATACACTTGCAACATCTGCCACATTGCCCCCCTATCCACCCTGTCATACGCCTTTTCCAAATCCATAAATGCCACAAGACCTCTTTAGCCTTATCTAAATACTGTTCACTTATATGTTCACTGTAAACACCTGGTCCACACACCCCCTACCTTTCCTAAAGCCTCCTTGTTCATCTGCTATCCTATTCTCCGTCTTACTCTTAATTCTTTCAATTATAACTCTACCATACACTTTACCAGGTACACTCAACAGACTTATCCCCCTATAATTTTTGCACTCTCTTTTATCCCCTTTGCCTTATACAAAGGAACTATGCATGCTCTCTGCCAATCCCTAGGTACCTTACCCTCTTCCATACATTTATTAAATAATTGCACCAACCACTCCAAAACTATATCCCCACCTGCTTTTAACATTTCTATCTTTATCCCATCAATCCCGGCGCCTTACCCCCTTTCATTTTACTTACTGCCTCACGAACTTCCCCCACACTCACAACTGGCTCTTCCTCACTCCTGCAAGATGTTTATCCTCCTTGCCCTATACACGAAATCACAGCTTCCCTATCTTCATCAACATTTAACAATTCCTCAAAATATTCCTTCCATCTTCCCAATACCTCTACTCTCCATTTAATAACTCTCCTCTCCTATTTTTAACTGACAAATCCATTTGTTCTCTAGGCTTTCTTAACTTGTTAATCTCACTCCAAAACTTTTTCTTATTTTCAACAAAATTTGTTGATAACATCTCACCCACTCTCTCATTTGCTCTCTTTTTACATTGCTTCACCACTCTCTTAACTTCTCTCTTTTTCTCCATATACTCTTCCCCTCCTTGCATCACTTCTACTTATATATATATATATATATATATATATGCAAAACAACCACTGTGAAAGAGTAGTGAAATTCCAAGCGCTTTCATGACTACTCACATTGTCAAGGAAACTATGAAAGTAATACATCAAAGGAAGGCAATTAAAGGGCTTAGACCACACTCACAGTCTAAGCCCTTTAATTGCCTTCCTTTGATGTATTACTTTCATAGTCCTTGACAATGTGAGTAGTCACGAAAGCGCTGGAATTTCAATACTCTTTCACAGTGGTTGTTTTGCATATTTTAAAATCACCTGTTTACTGTGATCTTATTGCATATATATATATATATATATATATATATATATATATATATATATATATATATATATACAGTGGACCCCCGCATAACGATTACCTCCGAATGTGACCAATTATGTAAGTGCGTTTGTACGTGTATGTTTGGGGGTCTGAAATGGACTAATCTACTTCACAATATTTCTTATGGGAACAAATTCGGTCAGTACTGGCACCTGAACATACTTCTGGAGTGAAAAAATATCGTTAACCGTGGGTCCACTGTATATATATATATATATATTTTACACACAAAAACACACACAGGAGATATGAATTGACCCCTGAAACCACAATTAGTTGAGTACACACACACATACAGTATATGTACAGCTATAAATTAAACAACTCGTATTTATTTTTAGGAATCGCCTGTCCTGAAGAGAAGGTCCACCAACACATTACATGAAAATGAAGAGTCTCCAACTGATGATGTACCAAAGTCTAATTTGAAGATAGAAACAATTAAAGTAGAGGTGTTACCAACTCAGAATGGAATTGATAATGGTGATTTACATATGGAGTGTGAAAACAGTGTTGCCGATATGCAAGAGTGTGATCAAGAAATGACAGAAATGCCACGGAATTCAACAAGCAAAACTGTTCTGATATCACGATGTCAAGCCTTAAGAGACCAAGACTTGACTGATGCTAGCGAGTCAGTACCAGTTCATTGTACCATGAATGGGTATGAAGAATCTACACAGGATGACAAAGAAATGAACGAGGATACCAACATGCCTTTAATAGAAAATCACGAGACTGACAGTGGCCAAGAGGAGCAAACTCCTGAAGTACGAATCCACCCAGCTACACCAGAAGTGCTTGCAGCTCATCAAGGACATAGTGAGGGGCAACCCAAACGTAGTGTCATTACTCTTACTCTCCGCCCAAGAAACCCCAGTGAATCCTCAAGTGGAGGAGTGTGCGAGTCCCGTGTGAGAGTTGTGTCCCGTACACCTAGTATGGTTAGTTCATGCAGTAACTCTAGCATTGCTAGTAATTCTGTAGTAAATGGTGTAGATCATATGTATCAGAATGGTAATATAGATGATCACAGGAGAAATAAGACATTTGGTCTCTCTCCTGATTCAACACCTGAAGTGAGAATCGCGCCTTTGTCCAAAACATACGAGTCATCAGCAGATCTTGTTCCCTCCAAAGTGTCAACCAGGTGTACGAACGCTAACAAAACTGCAAGTTTTGTTGTAATAAACACACCAACAGTCAGTCCACGAGTACCACGCCCAAAGACTCCTGTTACAAGTAGCTTTAATAGTTCACCTAGACTGTATGCCCCAAGAAATACAATGAAACCAAGGGATTCTTCTGCAGATTCATTCAAGAATCAAAGGTCTTTGGTTAGTAGGAAGGAAAATGTGGTATCAACAAAGAAACCCATGAATAATTGTAAAAATCAAAATTTACTACCATCTGTTAGTTACTGTGGTTCAGTCAAGAACTGCTATAATGGTGTGAGTTCCAAAATAAGTCGATTTGAACGAGGAGATTTCATGTACAACAAGGATACCAAATGTGACACACGAGACCTAGAATACGAGAGAGAACAGTCCAATGACAGAGAATCTATTTATGATCAAGAAGTTAAATATGAACATGGTGGAGCCAAGTATGAAAGGGAGTGTAGATATGATAGAGAAATTGTATATAACAGAGAATTGAGATATGATGGTGATCTCAACTTTGATAAAGACATGAAATATGACAGAGAAATGAGAGCTGATAGGGACTATAAGTTTGAAAGAGAGAGTCTTTTTGACAGGGACTATAACAGAGACTACAAATATGATCGCGAGGGCTTGTGTGAAAGGGACTATGATTATACATATGATGGAGATTCCAAGAGTAATCGAGATTATAGATATGATAGAGATTCAAAATATGACTTAAAGCTTAGTAGAGGAGAGTCTAGATGTGAACGAGACTGTGTATACGATAGAGGAGATATGACAGGAAAGAGCAGAATGTACGAAAGCCGGGACCACTGCTCCTCGCAAGACTATCCTAAGGGACTACCTAACACTGCCACAAATCCCCCAGTAATTACAGAGTCCAGCGTATGATAGCGCCTACATTGCTGTTTGCACTTCTTACCAGAGTCATTTAACTTTTAGCAAACAGTAATTTTTAATAAAAATTGCATAAAACAAAAGGTTTTTTGAACCAAGTGTGATATAATTTATTTAATTTTACCATGATGTACGTAATGATTGTTGGTCGTATGTCCCGAATGATAGCCGTGCATCCTACTCAATTGGGATTGGCCATGTGCAGCTTTGGAATTGCTTTTGAAGAAAGCCTACAGTATGTTCTTTTTAATACCGTATTTATACGGTCCGTGTGTATTATCTTTAATGCAAATCTGTAGGATTTAAAGATATTCAGGTTGAATATATGTTTTATGATGCACATATGCTTTTTTCACAATGCACATGCTGTTTATACATTCCATATTTGCAGATTTCATACATATAAAAACTGTAAATAATTTTTACTGAGAAATGTTTATTAGAATTTTTATAAAATGTGCCTAAAGTGAGTTTAAGTATATAATATATATATATATATATATATAGATATATAAATATTGAGTATAATTATTCAGGTGTGATAGATTGTGACAGATGGTTTGAACCAGTTTGACCACTGGCAGCTCAAATTTGTTAGGGGTGTTCCTGTGCCAGTGACAATCTGTACACCGTACCAAACTTCTTCACGAAAAGGACAGGCAGCAGTAATTCAGAGTAAAAATTGGTTTTTACAGATGTCAACAATGTGATGTTGCATTTTCAGTATGCATATTCATTTTTTATATATTGTAGATTATAATTAGTAAATACGTATGTGGAGTGTCAACGTTTGTAAGTGCAATGCCTGTCAATCGGCAGTATTGAAGTGTATGCATGTGTGTATATATAACTTAAGCTAGGCATTCATTCCTCTTGCAAATGGAGGGGGGAGGGAAAAAAATTAGCAGAATGTAATATATTTATTTTTGTCTTTATTTACGGGATAAAATTTCAATGATATTGTTGCTACCACAACACTGGATATACCCAAAAGTTTTTTGTGCTTATCTGACTGGCATATACTGACAACCAAATATTTAATTATGCTAAAAATTAAGCAGGGGGGAAATTATATTGTGTTTAGGCTTCTGGCTTTATATTCTGTGTACATTATTATGGCTGTGGTGTGCTTGATATTTTTTCTTTTTTTTTGTATTTATGGCTGCTAGATTTGAAAAATCAGCCTAAAGGTAATGTATTTGACAGGAAACATATCAGTTTTGTTATTTTATGAAGGCACTTGATTTGTATATATTTGGTCAGAATAATAATAATATAGTTGCTATATCTTTTTTTCTTCTTTTCATTAGACCTAACATCCTATGTATTGTAATAGAATTGGGAGATTGATTTGTATTTCATATTGCATTATTTTCTGTCAGTCTTTATTTTTGGTTGTCTCTCATACGAGGCCTGGTCTCAGACCGGGCTGCAGGGGGCGTTGATCCCCTGAAACCCTCTCCAGGTATACTTTAAAATTTAAATAAATAAATAGTTTATATACTTTAAATTTGAACTTAACTCTAAAGAATTATATCTGTCCATCTTTTCTACTGTAACTACTTTTTTTATACTACTAGTTTGCTTGCGTTACTGTATTTTCAATACCTACAATAAATCTTTGTTACATAGTTTCATACCTTTAGCCCCTCTTCCTCATTTTGCTAGACTGTAGCTTTGACACAGTTGAGAATAGGAGACCTTGTGTTCCTGTGAGCCAGCAAGCACTCCATAATAGATATGGACAGAGTATTCTCTGCTATTTTACTGATGAGAGTCAGTTCAAGTGGTGCCACTGGAGAGCTTGATTGTGAGGCTGGCCTCTGATGGTTGGGTCACCAGGCAGAGGTGTGTTAGTTTAGTCATAACACTGGTATGAGCAAACACTTAAATCAAGGGGTTCTTCAGTGCAGGGAGCTGCTAGATGTAGAAACATTGTTCATGTTGGCTCAGGTTCGGTTCCCTCGTCTTTTGATAGGTGGTAATTCTCAATCTAATTAACAGTAGTATATCCCTGCCTCGGTGGGAGACGGCCGACTTGTTGAAAAAAAAAAAAAAAAAAAAAATATTCATGTAGCTCAATCCAATTTCTGGCTGTTATCTTAGCATACAAATGTTATTGGCTGGATGCGATAATCAACTTACCACCCTTAGGTGATAGTAACACATGAGAGGATAAATGTTGAAAAATGAAGAAAGTCTAACTGCAAGTCATCTTAAAATGGGCAGGTTAATCACTTTACTGATGGCACCCTCTTCAAGGGGGGCTCCTTGGCGTGGTGAAGAGGCTCTGAGTCTGAGGAAGGAGACCTGTTGGTCTCCTTCCTCAGACCGAACCTAATTACCCCTCAATCCCCCCTCCCTTATTCTTTTCCTCCTCCTCCTCCTCACCCCTCCCTACTCTTTTTTTTTTCCCCACAGACACGCTAGTTCCTGTGTAGGGGAAAGGGTACTGGGGTCCATCCCATTCCGTTGAGGTTCTTGGCGGTGGTGTAGTCTGCCATGGAATCTGGATCACCTGGGGATGTCCCAATCCCTCTCCGGTCTCCTGGGGAGTGGCTTTGGGTATCTTTCGGGCGACGGGTGTATCTCTGGAGGCTGCCTTTCGGATTCCAGGGTTGGTGGCCAAAGGAGGTATGCTTTGTGGTGGATATCCAGCCGCCCTCTCTTTTGTCCACTGAGGTAGCTCAGCAGATGTGAGGTTGCTATCCCGGATTGCTGGTTTACTGGCATGATGGGTAGGGTATGGCACGGGTTCCTTGCTGCATCTGCACTACTTGTGGTCCTCTTGGGTGCGGAGGGAGATTTCTGGCCCTCTCATTCCTCCCAGGAACTATCCCTCCCTGGTTCCTCCTTTTTTTTTTCTTAAAAACAAAAAGAAAGAAGTAACCTAACCATGGAAGCCCTAGTCCATGAACCTGCTACCCCCGGGCACCTTCTTGATACCGCACCCCGTTCTGACCCCGCCTCGTCTTTGGACCACTCTTCGGACACTCCTACTGCCTCTGTACCTCTTGCCAGTGCTGTTTCCTCACCCGCTTCAGGTACTGAGGTCTCGACTGACTCCTTCGATTTATCTGGCTTCCGCTCTCCTTTGACTATGCTTCCGGCCTCTCCCTCTACGGTGCGTAGTCACTCCTGTATCTAATTCTTTTGCTGTCCTGGGCTCAGACGTCTCTACTTCAACGCCTCAGTTTGTTCTCGCTTCTTCGTGTTCTCCCTCACAAGCCTCGGTATCGTCGAGGTCTCGTACGACACCTCCTCCCAATTGTCTCTCTACTTCTCAGAAGTCAAAAAAAGGTCTTTTAACCCCTCCTTCCCTTCTTCCACCTCCTCGTTTTACCTTCCCTGTCTCTGTACCTGGTTCTTCCCCTCTCACTGGCTGTTACAAATGTAGAGGTTCACCCTCCTCCTCGTACTGTACCTTCCTCCCCTGTTCCCTTCCAAGTTTCTTCCTCTTCTGCCACCTCCCAGGTTTCTGCCTCTTCTGTCCCCTTCCATGCTTCTTCTCCAGCTCCCTCCACCCTTTTGCCCCCCTCCCCTACCTTGGTACAGTCCATTACAGTTTCAATCTTTACTCATCCTCCCCCTACCATCTCCAATATTGTCTCCCATACGATGTCTCTGAATTCCGAAACACTTGAAGCAATCTCTGAATATATTGCAGAGACCAAACCATCAATGGACACTGATCCACCCTCTGTTCCTTCTCTCCTCTCCTCCATCTGCGCAACTCCTTTCTTCGCTGCTTGAACGTTTTCCGCTGCCTCCGCATGTGGACTTTTCTAACCCCTCTAGTCCGTAGGAACCCTTACCTGCGGATTTCAGGTATCTTTATCGTTGCCAATCATGGCCTATTTACAGTGGAATATACGCGGCCTCAGGGGTAATCGGGGTGAGCTTCAGATGTTACTCTCCCAGTTTTCCCCTGTTGGTGTTTGCTTACAAGAACCAAAATTACACTCTCCTGTTATCTACCCCATCTCAGGCTATAATTTATTGTATTCTTCAGATCCGTTTCCTGATGGGACCTTTAATGAAAGTGCCCTTCTTCTACGCACTGATATTCCGTACCATCAGCTATTTGTTCGTACTTCGCTGCATTACACACCAGCCCGTATCCACTTGCATAGGTGGTATACGCTCTGTTCTTTATACATGTATCTCTCTCCTTCTCGGGCATTATCTATTCCAGATATTGCCTTTCTTGTTTCGTCATTACCGCCACCGGTTCTGCTACTTGGCGATTTTAATGCCCATCATTTCCTCTAGGGGGGGGGGTCTCACTGTGATTCCCGTGGCATTCAGTTAGAGGCTTTTCTTGCTACCCACCCCCTCCATGTTTTAAATACAGGTACTCATACCCATTTTGATCCTCTCACTCTCTCTTGCATCAATCTCTCAGTCTGCTCTTCCTCCGCCGCATTAGACTTCACCTGGTCTGTTCTCCCGGATTTACATGACAGCGATCATTTCCCAATCATTCTTACTTCCCCTTCATATTCACCACCTCTTCGTATCCCATGCTGGCAATTTGATCAGGCAAATTGGAACCTTTACTCACAACTGTTTTTAGTGAGGTTACTTCTTCGTCCTCCATTGATGAGCTTTTACACCTCTTCTCGTCCTCCGTTTTAACCGCAGCTTCTCATTCTATACCCCAAACTTCGGGCAGGCGTTCTCAGAAATGTGTGCCTTGGTAGTCTCCTGCTTGTGCTCGTGCAGTACGTTTGAAACGCGCTGCGTGGAGCAGGTACCGGTACAATAGAACCACGGAGAGACTTCTTGATTTTAAGCAGAGGCGTGCGATTGCTCGCCGTGTCATCCGTGACGCTAAACGCACTTGCTGGCGAGATTATGTCTCCACCATCACCTCTGCTTCCTCTGTGAGTGCAGTCTGGAAAAAAGTACAAAAACTGAGTGGTAAATATTCTCCTGACCCGGCTCCTGTTCTGCGGGTTGCCGGTGTTGATATAGCAAACCTACTAGATGTTGCTAATGAAAATGGCAATCATCTGGTCCGTATTTCTCAGGGGCTCCATCTATGCCCTCGTTTCTTTCCTCAAAGTCTGCCAGAGAGTTAGCACCCTTGGATTTTTCTTCTCTCAGAGAGGAACAGTATAATGTGCCTTTTACACTTCAAGAACTGGAGGCAACACTCTCAGCTTGCCGATCATCGGCAGCTGGGCCCGACGACATTCATATTCATATGCTACAACATTTACATCAGTCAGCCCTTGCAGTCCTATTATGCCTTTTCAATCTTATTTGATCACAAGGAGTTCTTCCACAGCCATGGAAATCTGCCATTGTTCTCCCTTTCCGCAAACCGGGCACTACGGGACATGAAGCCTCCCACTATCGTCCCATTGCTCTTACCAGTGCAGTTTGCAAAGTGATGGAATGCCTGGTAAATAGACGTTTAGTGTGGTATTTAGAGACACACAACAGTCTCTCCACTCGTCAATGTGGCTTTCGTAAGGGACGTTCTACCATGGACCCCTTACTACGCTTGGATACGTATGTTCGTAATGCCTTTGCGAATAACCACTCAGTTATTGCCATATTTTTTGACCTTGAGAAGGCATATGACAACTTGGAGGTATAATATTTTGGGCCAAGCCCACTCCTTAGGCCTCCGAGGCAATCTACCATCCTTCCTTAAGAACTTTTTAACTGACAGACACTTCCGTGTTTGGGTTAACAATGTGCTCTCCCCGGACTTTCTCCAAGTTGAAGGTGTCCCCCAGGGATGTGTTCTGAGCACAACACTTTTTCTCCTTGCTATAAATGATTTGGCCTCTAGTCTTCCATCAAATATTTGGTCATCACTGTATGTTGATGACTTCGCTATTGCCTGTGCAGGCGCTGACTGTCACCTCATTACAGTTTCTCTCCAGCATGCGGTCGACCGTGTTTCCAATTGGGCCACCACACATGGGTTTAAATTTTCCAGTACCAAAACTCACCAAATTACCTTCACTAGACGCTCTGTCATCTCCGATCATCCTTTGTACCTCTATGGCTCCCGTATCCCTGAACATGATAGTCAGGTTTCTGGGCCTCCTCTTTGACCGTAGGTTATCCTGGAAGCCTCACATTACCTCTCTGAAGGCAACTTGTCACAGCTGGCTGAACCTTCTTAAAACCCTTGCTCATCTTTCATGGGGAGCTGATCGTCGAACTCTCCTTCGCCTACATTCCACCCTCATTTTATCGAAACTTGATTATGGTGACCAGATCTATTCAGCGGCCTCTCCTGCTACTCTCTCTAGCCTTAACCTCATTCATC